GTAGCTTGACTCCCTCTTCTTTGGGGCAGCCCCTGAGATATTGGAACCCTGCTGTCATGTCCCCCCTCGTCCTTCATTAAACTAGAGTCTAGACCCAATTCCAGCAACCATTTCTTATATGTTTTAGCCTCCAGTGTTCTAATCATCTTTGTTGCTCTTCTCTGCACTCTTTCTAGAGTCTCAACATCTTTTTTACATCGTGGTGTAGTTTAACACCACTCTTGTCTGCTCACAGGTCAATGCCCATTTCCCTTTTGCCCGTCCTTAGTCTGACCTCCTATTCCCTGTTCTGGTTTTGGTTACGGGAGGAAAGAGACGTGTCTTTGGAAGAGAAGGTGGCTTGGATCCAACCAACATCCCTTGAAATGGGAGTGAAATGACTACATGAAGGAAGGATGGATGACTCAGCTCTAAAGTACAGAGAAAGCTCACTCTTTGTACCAAGGCTTGGCCCATAATCCTGGCCTCTTTCCACACGTGAATCCTTCCGATTTGCTCTCCAAAGCCGGGTGGCCCTTGGAGCAGTGTTTATCAATCTCTGCAACTTTAAGAACAGTGGACTTCAATTCCCAGAATTCCCCAGCCTGCAAGGCTGGCTGGGGAATTCCGGGAGTTGAAATCCACCAGTCCTTAAAGTTACAGCGATTAAGAATACTGGGAATTGAAATCCATCCATCTTCAAAGCTGCCAAGTTGGATGAGGGCAGAGAGGAGAAGCAACGGATGGAAGATCGTGAGAGAGAAGTCCAAGCTAGAATTAAGGAGAAATGTTCTGACTTTGAGAATAATTCATCCGTTAATTAATAATTTCTGGCTTGCCACCAGAAATTGTGGGTTGCTCCATCCCTGGAGGCTTTTTGGAAGAGATTGGACAAGGAGCTTTGAAGGCAGCTGCCTGTTTGACAGTTTCACACGTGCAAACCCTGTTTGATTGCTTTTGTGTGTGTGTGTGTGTGGTGTTCTGTGACCTTGGAAATCAGGAACTCGGTTTAGCCAGTTGTATGAAGCTATCTGTGATATCCTGGAGATTACGGGAATGAGGTATGTCTGGTTTAACGAAGAGAAGGACGAGGGGGGACATGATAGCAGCCTTCCAATATTTGAGGGGCTGCCACAAAGAAAAGGGGAGTCAACGTATTCTCCAAAGCACCTGAAGGCAGGACAAGAAGCAATGGATGGAAATTAATCAAGGAGAGAAGCAACCTGGAATTAAGAAGAAAATTCCTGACAATGAGAACAATTAATCAGTGGAACATCTTGCCACTAGAAGTTGTGGGGGCTCCATCATTGGAGGTTTTCAAGAAGAGACTGGACAGCTATTTGTCTGCAATGATATAGGGCAGACATGTCAAACACAAGGCCCGGGGGCCGGATGCGGCCCGCGAAGTGGTTTCATGTGGCCCGCAAAACCATCCTGGAAACAGTGAGGGAACGGCCCCCGCTGCCTTGGCCCTGGCCCAGGCCGGCCGGGAGCCAATGTACAATTTTGTGGTGGCCACCTATGCTGAAACGCATTCAGTCTTAGCTCCACAAGGCCGTCTGGAAACAGCGAGGAACTAGGAGAACCTTGAGCAGCAGCCTTGAGGAAGTGGGGCTGGGCTTGGTGCCGTGGGTGCTCAAGGGCCAGGCTGGGCATTTGACCTCTGCTGCCCAGGGCTCCGGGCAACCCACACCATCATCCAGCCCCCCCCCCCCTGCATGGCCTGAGAGGAACAGTGAGGCTCCTCCAGTGGACCATGCCTCGGGACTTGTCCAGGTCCCACCCCCTTCTGCCAGAGACCCTCAGCTCTGTCCCATTCCTGCCCAGGCCCCCACAGGCCCCCCTGACCCGAACGATGTAGAGCTGGCCACGCCCACCCAGCAGGCCACACCCACCCCATCCACGCCCACCCAGTAGGCCACACCCCACCCAGCCCCCTGAGGGCAACCCAATGCTGATGTGGCCCTCAATGAAACTGAGTTTGACACCCCTGATATAGGGTCTCCTGCTTGAGCAGGGGTGGGGGTTGGACTAGAAGACCTCCAAGGTCCCGTCCAGCTCTGTTATTCTGTATTCAGAGCTCAGTCACGGATTCAGGGAGAAGCTGAGTCCGCGGTCCTTTCCTCCTAGGTGATTCACCCAAATCCCATATGCCTGTGTCACATCCTGCCGGATCTTAAGAAAAAAGAGTTTTGGTTAACCCTTGCAGTTCAGAAGCCAATCCAGGAGAGTTTGGGGAGGGGGAGGGAATTAGCCTTTGGGTGATGGAGAAGCTAACACAGCCCCTTTCCCCCTCCCCATTTGAAGGTTCACGTTTATAGTCCTGGTTCTGGATCTTTTCTCTTTGTCCCGGCCTCAGTTTTCCCATCTAATAAGAATAAAGTTGGAAGGGACCTTGGAGGTCATCTAGTCCAACCCCCTGCTCAGACAAACGGCTGTCCAGTCTCTTCATAAAAAACTTCCAGTGTTGGAGCATTCACCACGTCTGGAGGCAGGTTGTTCCACTGGTTAATTGTTCTAACTGTCAGAAAGTTTCTCCTTAGTTCTAGGTTGCTTCTCTCCTTGGTTAGTTTCCACCCGTTGCTTCTTGTCCTGCCTTCAGGTGCTTTGGAGAATAGCTTGACTGCCTCTTCTTTGGGGCACCCCCTGAGATACTGGAAAGCTGCTATCATGTCCCCCCTCGTCCTTCTCTTCATTAAACTAGACATGCCCAATTCCAGCAACCGTTCCTTATATGTTTTAGCCTCCAGTCCCCTGAAGGCTTTGTTTTTATAAAATAAGATTCTCCCAGTCAAGTTTTTGTTTGACAGAGCTGTTTCTCCTTGTCTCAAAAGTTCTGTGGGTGAAACTGAACAACCCTTATAAGAAAATCTCCTTTTTTCATGTCAGTCTGAATCTCAAAAGAATTTTACAGAAGGGAGTCCCCTTAACCAATTCTTCTTATCTGCAATGATGTGGGGGAACTATCCCTAGACCAGGGGTAGGCAACCTTGGCTCTTTTGTGACTCATGGACTTCAGCTCCCAGAATTCCTGAGCCAACCACGCTGGCTCAGGAATTCTGGGAGTTCAAGTCCACAAGTCATGAAGGGGCCAAAGTTTCCCTCATGCTGGCTCAGGAATTCTGGGAGTTGAAGTCCACGAGTCATAACAGAGCCAAGGTTGCCTATCCCTGCCCTAGACTGTACATCTTATCGTCCTCAACCATCAGTCCAGCTGTCGGGGCCTGATGGGTATTGGAGTCCTGCCACTTCAAAAGGAGCCATGGTTCCTCCTTCCTGAGCACAAAGTCCTGGGAAGCTACGTTATTTTCTGTTTCACCTTCTGCTTTCTGAAGCAGTTTCCTTTTGAATTGCTTTCGATTTTTCATTCAGGCCACCAGCCCTGAGAAAAACATCTTTAAAAAGGAAAGTTAACAGATCACACACCTCATTCAGTTTGAGGGTGAAATCCCTTTCTATGCTCAGACAAGACCTTGAAGAGTAGTATTTTGATCTAATAACCAAATAGGAAAAAAAAAACATGCCCAAATAACAGAATAGAACAAAAGAGTTGGAAGGGGCCTTGGAGGTCATCTAGTCCAACCCCCTGCTCAAGCAGGAGACCCTATCCCATTCCAGACAAATGGCTGTCCAGTCTCTTGTTAAAAACCTCCAATGTTGGAGCACCCACAACTTCTGGAGGCAAGCTGTTCCACTGGTTAATTGTCCTCGCTGTCAGAAAATTCCTCCTTAATTCCAGGTTGCTTCTCTCCTTGATTAGTTTCCATCCGTTGCTTCTTGTCTGGCCTTGGGGGGGGGGGCTTTGGAGAACAGGTTGACCCCCCCTCTTCTTTGTGACAGCCCCTCAAATATATTGGAAAACTGCTATCATGTCCCCCCTCGTCCTTTTTACTAGACTAAATATACCAAATCCAGGTTGAAGCAAAACAGACTAAATAAAAATTAATAGCGGGAATGAACTAGATGTACTAAATCCAGGTTGAAGCAAAATAACAGCATAAATAAAAATTAATAGCTTGAGCGAAGCCGTACAGTAAGGGATCTTGTGAACGCCACCAGGTAAGAGATCCGTTCTGATCTCTCTCCCGATCTGCGAATAAATCCTCGATTTTTAAGGGGGAAAGGGGCGAACCAGTTTTGCCCCACTTTTTTTTTTTTTTTTAATGAAACCGGAGTAAGGACGTTTCGCTTTAGGATTGCAACCTGGCTGAATTCCCACTGGGGAAAAGTTAGGGGATTTCCCCGTTTCGGCGCCCGGGGCGGGGGGGGGGAAGCGATCTGAGTCACCCGCGTGAAGAATGCACGGAGGCCTTCTGGATGAGGCAGATAAGACACGTGCCCGGCAGAATGCGAGGAGGGGGAGAGAAAGTTGGGACCCCCATCACTTTCTTTCTCCCCAGACCTGCCTCTCCCCCCCCCCCGCATCGTTTCCCCAAACCCTGATTTTTCACCCCTGTCCCAGGTCGAGATCTCGCTCTTTTCAGCAACAAGAGCGGCCTCTGGGCATGTGCAGAGTGTGGAGGCTGCCCCTGTCCTCTGAAGCACCCAGTTTTTATATCCCCCCCGTACCCCACCCCAAAAAACAGGTGGGGGGGCGAGGCGGCAAAGCCCGCACGTGCAAAGCCGGCACGAGAAGGGAATCCTTCAGCCGGCGCGCCAAACAGGAAGACATCAGCCCATGTAAGGGCATCTGCGTCACCGTCTCGTGACTCGAGGTTCGGGAGAAACCAAGTGCGGCCGCTCGTAGGGGGGGAGGCGGATTTGGGGAAAGCTTTTGGATTTCTCTCGGGGCGGGGTGAGAAAGGGTGGAGAGGCAGGTTGGGTTCACAAGGGTTTATTCCCCCTAATGGGCTGCTCGGACCTAGGCTTCCCCCTGCGGATGGCGGGTGGAAGGGTCCAAGTCCCTCCCCCGCCCTCCCCCCCCTTTGGAGAAAAGTGGGATCGCCCGCGCCGGGAGTCCCCATTCATTGAAAAAAAAGGGCCAAGGTCGAGCCGCTTGGCTTCTTTCGGGCCTCGCAGCGTCGGGCGTCGGAGGGGCTGAGCCCGGCTAGACATGTTCAAGGGTTACGGAGCAGGAAGGCCACCTCCTCCCGCAGCTCCGCGGCCAAGTTTATTTCCCGCCTTGCCCTCCGCAGTCCGCCCGGGATCTCAGCAGCAGGTAAGTTTCCCCTTTTGCCTTCTTTCTCTCTTTTGAACTCTGCACATGCTCGGGGGGCCGCTCTAGACTTTGCCGTCTTGCCTGGGGTGGCGCCAGCAAGTACATTTTCCCCCTTTCTCTCTTTCTTTTGAACTCTGCACATGCTCGGGAAGGGCTCTAGACTTGGTAGTCCACCCGGGAATGGAAGCAGCAAGGAAGTTTCGCTTTGCCTCCTCTCTCTTTTAAACTCTGCATATGGTCGGGGGGGGGTGTTCTAGAAATCTGCCCCCGTCCCTCTCTCCCCCCCCTCTCTCTTTTGAACTCTGCACATGCTCGGGGGGGGTTCTAGAAATCTCAGTGTGCCCCCGTCTCTCTCTCTCTCTCTCTCTCTCTCTCTCTCTCTCTCTCTCTCTCTCTCTCTTTCTCTCTTTTGAACTCTGCACATGCTCGGGGGGACTCTAGGACTCCCCTTCTAGCCCAGCTCCCGTTTCCAAAGAGATCTTCCAAAGGACTTTGGGGGTTGTCCTTCAACTCCCGCCGTCTTCCAAGGACTAAAACTGGGGCGCGAGAGGAGACAGATAAATCGCTCTTTGGGTGTGCTCAGAGGCACTGTGATCAGAGGGTTTTTGGGGGGTTCCGGAGAACGCGGAGAGGATTGCATCGGGCTGCAAGCGGCTCGCCCCCCCCTTTTGCGAGGGTCGAAAGAAAGTTGACACGGAACAAGGATGGGGATCGTGAGAACGGGGGGCGCGTGTTTAAATTTAATCCTTACCTAAAAGATTTTTTTTAAAAAAAAATCCACGTTCGGAGCGTGCTGTCTGGCAGCCTCTCCAGATCGGGATTCTCCCAAGGGGATCGACCTACAGCAACCCCCCCCCCCACCCCAAAAGTGGATTTTGCAATATTTCTGAAATAACAACCAAAAACCAACATGGGTGAATCAGAGAATGTGACTGCGTCTTTTCACGTGTCTTAACGTCGACCCTTGCAAGGGGATCCAGCCGAGGTTCCAACGCGTGTCTGTAACTTGATACTAGACCCCAGATATTGTGAGAAACGCTCTCCTCCGTTTCACCCAGTGTAATAAAAGGAGGCAATTTGCAATGCAAACGTGCTTCCCTGCAGCGAGGATTTTGTCTCTGTGTGTGTTGGGGGGGGGGGAAATCCTCTTTTTAGCAATAAGCATGCTGAGTAATGATTTTTTTTCAGACTCGGAAGAAGGGGAGGGGGCATTTAAAAGGCTGCTTTCTCATCTCTCCCCCCCCCCTCTAAATACCTGAGTCATCTGCTTCAGGCAGGACAAGGAGTTTGATTCCTTCTCTTGAAGGGCAGGTCATTTTGTGTGCTGTCATAAGTCTGAGTCATCCTCAGATTTGTCAGAACAGAGTCACCCGTTCTGCAGACGGAGCGTTAGGCCGGCCACTCCTTGCTGGGACCCAGTTTCAAAGTGGCTGGGGAGGTTTTTTTCTCTCTCTCTCTCTCATCCTTTCCCTGGCTTGTGAAATCACCCCCTCTTGCCCCCCCCCCAAGGGATAGGTACCCGGGCCTGCCTGATCAGGCCTACCTCGCAAGGCGGTGGATTCCCAGCTCTTTGAAGTCTGGCGTTAACCTGGCAGCAGCGCAAGAAAGATCGGTGGAAATTTTTTGTTTTTCATAATTCACTCTGTTCTTGGCTTGGAGTGCTGGTTTTAAAATGAAATAAATGAAATAAATTAAAAATAGGGAAAGCAATCTCTTCTTTGTTAAGAAAAGGCTGGACTGCCATTTGTCTGAAATGGTTTACAGCCTCCTGTTTAGGCAAGGGGTTAGACTAGAAGACCTCCAAGGTCCCTCCCAACTGTCATTCTATATTCTGACGGGGGGGGGCTGGACTAGAAGACCTCCAAGGTCCCTCCCAACTGTCATTCTGTATTCTGACGGGGGGCTGGACTAGAAGACCTCCAAGGTCCCTTCCAACTGTCATTCTGTATTCTGACGGGGGGCTGGACTAGAAGACCTCCAAGATCCCTTCCAACTCTGTTATTATTATTCTGTATTCTATAAAATCCTTTTGGAGGTTTCTTTGGGCAGTTTAAAATTCAGGGTTTTTAATCTCCACACACACCCCCCATCCAGCTAGTCAAACTCTCCCCAAGAAGGACCTCTAAGCAAAGGGCTTGCCTTCCTTTGCCTTGAGCGAAGTGCCAGAGAGGTAGACTTCCCTTGTCCATGGAGGATCCATTTTGCCCCAGGGCGCAGGGTGGCGGGGGGGGGGGGAAGAGAGCAACATCCCCCATGACTCAGCCATTCTTCCCGCAATGGATTCTGCATCTGCTGTGGGAGAGTTTGTCGTGTTTGGCTAAGTGCTGTTGTCAGAGGTGTGCGTGGCTCTAACCACTCCACTCCCTTGTTCCAACACCATTTCCAAAGCAGCGGCAAAGAAGATTTGCCCTTAATAGAGGCTAAATTAATCCTTACCCTCTTCCGGAAAAACATTCCTTTCCCGTTGTTTACATGACACGGATTGCCGAGTCATGTAAACAACACCAGGTGCCTTGCACAACTTGGAGAGGACTAAGTACCATGGTTCCCATTTGGGTTAATGGATCATTTAGTTCAGGGGTAGGCCACCTTGGCTCTTTTATGACTCGTGGACTTCAACTCCCAGAATTCCTGAGCCAGCCATGCTGAGGGAAAAGGGAGAGGTTTCCAAGCTGAGCCAGGCTGGCTCAGGAATTCTGGGAGTTGAAGTCCACGAGTCATGAAGGGGCCAAGGTGGCCTACCCCTGATTTAGTTCAAAGTTTAGCCTTTGGTAGAAAACTAAGTTAAATTCACCGATCTCACTTATCCAGCTCAGCTCATTATTGTCCTCAACTTACAACTGTTTGTTTAATGACCGAAGTTAGAACAGCACCGAAAAAAGGGACTTATGACCGTTTTTCACACTTACGACCGTTTTTCACACTTACGACCGTCGCAGCATCCCCATGATCACGTGATCAAAATTCGGATGCTTGGCAACTGACCCATATTTATGACGGTCGCCGTGTCCCGAGGGGGTCACGTGATCCCCTTTTGTGACCTTCTTACAAGCAGAAGTCAGATTCACTTAATAACTGTGCTCCATACTTAACAACTGCAGTGATTCGCTTAACATCCAGGGCAATAAAAGTGGTCATAAAGTGGGGGAACAGTCAGTTAAAAATGTCATGCTTAGCAACATAAATTTTGGACTTATTATCCTGTAGTGAGTGAATTAGGACAGCAGACCAAATTGGATTAATTGAATCTTGCTTGCGTGTATGTGTTTGTGTTGTTATCTTATTGTGTGTGTGTGTGTGTTGTTATTTTGCTTATCATTGATTTTCGGTTATTTATTTTAATAATATTTTTAAAACACCTCCTTCTGCCCCTGACTTTAAATGACTCTGGACAGCTTACAATTTAGAAAGCAGGAAGAATTAAAGGGGGAGGGGAGAAATTGTGCATGCAGGAAAAAACAACAACATACAAAGCACAACAATAACACCTGGCAACATAAGCCAAGGATATTTGGAGTATCTGGTGTTAAAGGAGCTTAGCTTCGTAGTCTGTGTCCTCAGTTATATAAATCCAGGAAATGGGTTTATTCAAAAAGAAAAAACTTGGCCTCTAAGCCAAAAAATTGCTCAGTCATGGCTTGGCTTACTCTCTAATGCAAACACAGCCCATGGCGTTCTTTTAGGGCCGGGAGTGCAAAAGAGGATTAACCAAGTTGGGTTAACTTTGATTCATGTCAATCCTGGTTAGGTTACCATGTGTGAAAGCAGCATTTCTGGCCAGCTGTTGGTTTGGGATATCATGCAAATATTTTCTCCCTCCATAGTCTGGCCTGCGTGCGAAACCTGCTCTTATAGGGCCAAGTAATCCCCATTTATGGCTGGTTGCGATGCGACAAGCCAGCCGGTGTGGCTTGTTTGACAAACCAGGGCTTAGCTCAATGCTGAATATCTAGATCCTACCTAATTCACCTTCATAGTACTGTACAAGCAGTGCTTAATTTACAACGATTCATTTAGTGACCGAAGTTACAACGGCATTGAAAGAACTGGCTTATGACTCCTTTTCACACTTAATGACCTGGCTTTGGAGCGCTTAATCCCCATGGTCACATAATCAAAACTCGCCCGCTTGGCAACTGACTCATGTTTATGACGGTGGCAGCCGTGCTTCTAACGTCACGACTGCAGGAATTCCCTCGTGGCAAGCGAGGTCGTAAAATGGGGCAAAACTGGCTTAACCAGTGTCTCACTGAACAATAGAAAGGTTGGTGCTCAAATGTGGTCGTAAGACGAGGATTACCTGTCACGCTTGTCCTCATCTAAGCAGGCAGCTGTCCCGGTGGCCTACCTCGCAGGGTCGTTAGTGAGGCTGGACGGCAGATAGGTGAATAAAAAGACACTGGAGAAGGGGACACCGCTATCCGGGGGTGTGTGTGAAGCAAGGGCAGCTTTGGTGGCTTGACGGTGACATGTCAGAACGTCCCCACCCGGGTTTGAGCAGGTCAAAACAGCCGGCCTCTTACGCTGCTTGGGCCGCCTCGCCCAGTGAAATGACGCCAGCACCCCACGCAAACAGCCGGGGCGGGACGCAGAAGTGTGCCAAGAGCCTCCAGGGCAAGGCAGAGGCTACCGGGGAACTAGGTCACCGAGTGTGGAAAGGGCAGGAGGTTTGCAAGCTCTGGAACAGCCAACCTTTTACCTCCAATCCGCCTGGTGGCTGGGGCGCCCTCTGTACATGCACAGATGGCTCCCCCTGGCCAGGGTGTACCTGGGAGGGGAAGGGCGAGTCAGGAGAGAGGCACCCTTAAAGTGGCTTTGGTCAATAGGGGGGGCTGGTCTACCGGGAAGTGGGACTGTCACACTGCGGGTTCTTGCAAAATGTAATTGTAATTAAAAAATAAGATTATTAATTTAAAGGATCCTATGTTACTTCGGGGCTCCCAGCCTCCCCCCTCCCCCACTTTTTTGTTGCAAAACAGAATTTCTCTTCGTTGAGCAAGCAGGGAAATATTTATCACTCAGCCATATAATTTTGGTCCTTCCTTCCTTCCTTCCCTTTCTTCCTTCCCTCCCTCCCTTCCTCCCTCCCTCCCTTTCTTCCATCCTTTTCTCCTTCCTTCCTTCTCTCCATTCTTCCTTCCTTCCTTCTTCCCTCCCTCCCTCCCTCTTTTCCTTCCTTTCTTTCTTCCTTCCTTCCTCCCTTCCTTCCTTCCTCCCTCCCTCCCTCCCTTTCTTCCATCCTTTTCTCCTTCCTTCCCTTTCTCCCTCCTTTTTTTCCTTCCTTCCTTGCTTCCTTCTCTCCCTCTTTCCTTCCTTCCTTCTTCCCTCCCTCCCTCCCTCCCTTCCTTCCTTCCTCCTTTCCTTCCTCCCTCCCTCCCTCTCTCCCTCTCTTTCTTCCATCTTTTTCTCCTTCCTTCTCTCCCTCCTTTTTTCCTTCCTTCCTTCCTTCTTTCTCCCTCCCTCCCTCCCTCCTTTTCTTCTCTCCCTCTCTCCCTCCCTTCCTTCCTTCCTTCCTTCCTTCCTTCCTTCCTTCCTTCCTTCCTTCCTTCCTTCCTTCCTTCCTCTCCTCCCTCCCTCCCTGAAAGAAATTCCAGCCGGATCTGGCAGCCGGGAGCAGCAACACAGCCGCCACCTTCGTGCCCAACCTCAACGCCATCACCACCAGCCACAGCCTGCAGTGGATGGTGCAGCCTTCCCTGATGGGCGCCTCTTCGGGATTCCCTCCTTTTCCCCGGCCTTATCGTTGCCCGCACTACACAGCCGGCATCCGTCCTGGCGTGATTCGCACCATGGGCCCGGGCTCAGTGCCTCGGAGGCGTCACTCGGAGCATGTGAGTGTCGGGGGGGGGGGGAGAAAACTCTGCAACAACATCAGGCTAATATTTTACCTGCCCGCTGGTTTGTTTTCATTCCGCTTTCCGTATTTTTATAAATAACTTGAGGACTAGAAGTAGAACTAAAGAGAAGCTTCCTGACAGTGAGAACAATTAACCAGTGGAACAGCTTGCCACCAGAAGTTGTGAATGCTCCAACACTGAAAGTTTTTAAGAAGAGACTGGACAGCCATTTGTCCGAAATGGCATAGGGTTTCCTGCCTGAGCAGAGGGTTGGGCTAGATGATCTCCAAGGTCCCTTCCAACTTTATTATTATTATTATTATTATTATTATTATTATTATTATTATTATTATTATTATTATTATTATTAACTCATGGTGGAGTTGACGTCCTCACAACTCAACAGTTGCCAGATTTGAAAAAACTCTCATTGCAGTTCAGTTTGCACCCCTGCCTCTGTCAAATACGAGCAGTCCTCGAACTTACAGCCGTTTGTTTAGTGACCATTCAAACTTACAGCGGCACTGAAAAAAGGGACTCGGGGCTGTTTTTCATCCTTATGACAATTGCAGCCTCGAAATTTCATCACTTGCCAGCCGGCTCACATTTATGACGGTCACCGTCTCCCGGGGTCACGTGATCCCCTTTTGCGACTCTCTTGGCGAGCCAAGTCAATGGGGAAGGCGGATTCATTTAACGACCATGTTCCTCGCTTTATAATCGCAAGCGATTCACTTAACAACCGTGGCAGGGAAGGTTGTAAAATGGGGCAAAAATTCACTGAACAGCGGTCTCGCTTAGCCACAAGAAATTTTGGCGTCAGTTGCGGTCGCAAGTCGAGGACTACCTGTCATTTTAAAAAGGAAAAAGCTCGGAGCCCGTTTTGGAGGGGAAAAAAAGTGGAAACCCTCAAAACTGAAAAAACAAAAAAAAACAAACCAGGTTCTCTTGGATTGTCCTGGTATTTTGCGCCCCCTCCTGGCCATGAGGTGACATAATTATTCTGATAACGGGAATAACAGAGCTGGAAGGGACCTTAGAGGTCATCTAGTCCAACCCACTGCTCAGGCAGGAAGCCCCATACCATTTCAGACAAAATGGCTGTCCAATCTATGATCTACGGATCTAGGATCTATATAGAGATGGGTCCACCCCTCTCACTTGGTGCTCTGATTTGATCCTGCTTCTCCTGAAATTCAGGCTGGGGAGTGGGGATGATGGGAGATGTATTCCAAGAATCCCGAAAGTGAAAAAAAAAAAAAAACCCAAAATCGCATTCATTGTCTGCTTTTTAACACACCGCCATCTTGTTTTTACGGTCTAGAGATTCAGACCAGGCTCAGCCAGAATCGGTCTGGTTTGGAAAAAAAATTTTTCTGCAGATTTTGCACCGCTAAGCGAGGCGGTGGCAAAGTGAGTCGTGCCTGATTTTATGACTTTTTCCCCACCATTGTTAAGCGAATCACACAGTCGTAAAGTGAACCTGGCTTCGCCATTGACCTTGCTGGTCAGATCGAAAAAGGGGATCACGTGACATTGGTGAAGTGGGTTTTGCCTCATTTTACGACCTCTCTTGCCACCGTTGTTAAGTGGATCACTGCAGCTGTTAAGTTAGGAACACCGTCGTTAAGTGAATCTGGCTTCCCCATTGACTTTGCTTGTCAGAAGGTCGCAAAAGCGGATCACGTGACCCTGGGACACGGCGACCGTCGTAAATACAAGTCAGTTGCCAAGTGTCCAACTTTTGATCACCTGACCTTGGGGAGGCTGCAACGGTCGCAAGTGTGAAAAATGGTCATAAGCCACTTTTTTCACTGCCGTTGTAACTCCGAACAGTCACTAAGTGAATCATAAGTCGAGAATTAACTTTATCTTTGGGGGGGGGTGTTGCTGCCTGTTTGCAGAGCTTCCCCAAGTCCTTCTGAAGCAGAGCAGTTGCACGCAAGGTTGTGTTACACACTGTGCTGCTCCAGAGACGGTTGCTTTGTCTTGTGTAGTTGTGACTCCAGACTCTCCTTTGCAGCTCAGCCCAGAGGAGGAAGAGCGACGGCGTTTGCGGCGGGAACGGAACAAGCTGGCGGCCGCCAAATGCCGCAATCGGCGCAAAGAGCTGACCGACACGTTGCAAGCAGTGCGTTCAAGACAAGCGGGATATTTTAATTGCGTTAGCACAACAGTCTACCATAGGCGGGGGGAGGGAGGGGGTCAGACTGGATGACCTCTGAGGTCCCTTCCAGGTCTTGCAGGCTGAGCTTGCAAAGGATGGACAGGGTCCTTCCAAAGAAGGGTTTGTTTTCATTGGGGGGGGATTTGGTAGGGGGTGAGTTGGCTCCTGGGAAGGGGTATAATTCTGGTTTGCCGTGCCTGTTTGCAAAATAGGTTTGTTTGGTAACCAGGTTAATCAGGACAGGCAAAAATGAACTGCTACGGGAAGTTGCAGCCATCTTTTTCTGGATTTTGTCTTTCTTCCAATGACACCCCTGCTTTTTGGGTCATTATAGAATAGAATGGAATGGAATGGAATTGGAATTGGAATTGGAATTGGAATTAGGAATAGAATAGAATAGAATAGAATAGAATAGAATAGAATAGAATAGAATAGAATTATGGAATGAATAGAATAGAATAAAATAGAATTATGGAATAAATAGATTATAGAATAGAATAGATTATAGAATAGATTATGGAATAGATTATAGAACAGAATAGAATAGAATAGAGTAAAATAGAATATAGAATGGAATAGAATAGAACAGAAATATAGAACAGAACAGAACAGAATAGAATAGAATAAGCTGGAAGGGACCTTGGAGGTCTTCTAGTCCAGCCCGCTGTCCAAGGCAGGAGACTTTACAGCAAGGGGTCTGCCAGAATTCCCCAGCCAACATGGCTGCCCAGGGAATTCTGGGAGTTGAAGTCCACCCAAAAGTGGCAACTTTGGAGACCCCCCCACTTTATACAAGGCAGTCCTCGACTTATGACCAATCCACTGAGCCCCAAGTTTCTGTCGCTAAACGAAACATTTGCTAAGCGAATTTTGCCCCCTTTGACGACCTTTCCTGCCACCGTCGCTAAGCGAATCGCTGCGGTTGTTAAGTTAGTCACACGGCTTCCCCCGTTGACTTTGCTTCTCCGAAGGTCGCCAAAGGGGATCCCGGGACCCCGGCACACACTGCGACCGTCATAAATAGGAGTCAGTTGCCAAAGCGTCTGAATTTTGATCCCGGGACCACGGGGGACGCCGCAACGGTCGCAAGGGTGCAACATGGCCCTAAGTCCCTTTTTTCAGGGCCCTTGTAAATTACGACCGTTCGCCGTGAGTCGAGGACTACCTATACATTCCGGTCAACTAGTTTTCTGGGTCCGTTTTTGGAAAACCTCCTTGCAAGGAAGCCCCCCAAACATCAGAAGGATGGGATTCCTTCCCGCCTCCCGGTCTAAATCCCTTTTGTTTTTCATTCTCCCCCCCCCCCACAGGAAACGGATCAATTGGAAGCCGAGCAGTCGGGCCTCCGGAAGGAAATTGCGGAACTGCAGAAGCAGAAAGAACGTCTGGAATTAGTGCTGGAAGCCCACCGGCCCGTCTGCAAGATCCTGGAAGAATCGTCCGGAGATGTGGAGGGGGGCCACAGCCGGCCAGCCGTCCCCTCCGAACTGCTGGACAAACAGGAGTCTCCTCCGGGCCCCCGGCGTGCCTCTCGCCGGACGGCCCCGGTGCCCCCCAGCATCACGCTGCCCCCCAGCGGCCTGCTGGAGCCCGAATCCCTGCACACCCCCACCCTCATGTCCACCCCGTCTTTCACCCCGTTTACCCCCAGCCTGGTCTTCACCTACCCGGGGCCGGGGGACCCTGATGGGCCCTCGGGGTCCGGCTTTCCCTCCGAGCCCTGCTCCTCCGCCCACCGAAGGAGCAGCAGCGGGGACCACTCCTCGGATTCGCTCAATTCTCCCACCTTGCTGGCGCTTTGAGGAACGAGCTGGATTCGAATCTTGTCCACATTTTTTTTTTTTTTTAGGGGGAGTGTCAAGAGGGTTAACCACCCTTCCTGGCCCCTTTGGCCATACCCGATTCTCTTTGGCCTCGCTTTTTGAGAGCCCTGTAGTTACGGGCCTCCTGTGTCCCCGCCCAGACGCAGGCGTCAAGTTGCTAGTCCTCAAGAGCAGCCAGGAGCCTCTTTTCTTTGGTTCGGAAGACCGGCTGTCTGAAAAACCCGAATTCCAACCAATGTTATGTTCTTTCGCGAAACACTAAAATATATCTCTTACACAGGCCTCTGGTCCTTGCCCTTGTGTTGTTTATAAGGCCCAAGTGGCTAGTCCTCAAGACTGACTGGTCAGTCTTTTTTTTTTTTTTTTTTTTTGGACACCCAGAATCCTCTTTCTGGAAAAACGAGCAAGGCTTTTTGGGTCCTTCGATCACGTTCAAGGAAAAGACATCGCCATTTTAAAGTCGTTTTTCACTTTATATCTGATTTTTGAAACCAAGAGAAGAAATTTAGGACAAATATAGATTTATTTTTCTACAATGACTTACAGCCAGCGGGATGAAGTGGGATGCATTTCTTTGTGGTCCAGAACTGAAGCTGGTTGGATATACTGTATATTATTATTATATATAAACATACAAGTGGTCTTATTTTTCCTGATGCCTCATGAAAGTTGCATTACAAGGGATGTTTGGACACAGTTGTGATGGTTTTGTGCAGTTTTCGACGCTGGTGGTCCTTGATCACTTGAAGCTTGTGCAAAAAGGATTTGATACAAATATATATTGTCATTTTTTTGCGTCTTCAAACGTCATAGGAATTAATCTGAGTTTAGTGGGACATTTAAATAAAAATGAAGTGAGCACAGCAAACTGTGACATCGCAGATTGGCGAGGGATCAATTCATCTATTTGTATTCTGTTATTTTTTTTGAAAATGTATGTTGAATAATAAGCTTAAGAAACCTGCAGGATTCCACAGTGCTGGAGCCAATCCCAGATGTGTTGTTCTAGATGGGCTGGATATTTTTTTTCCCCCCTTTTGGCTTAATTTTTCTTGGAAAATAAACCAAACATTGCTGCTGGACCTCATGAACTCTGTGATTTGGCCAAGAATACTATCTAACCGTAGGACAATTGTTTTGAGAAAGCTGGGAAAACAAACAGAAAGATGTGAAGATTCTCCAGAGAATAGCCTTACGACGGCAATCCAGGCCACAGGTATTCCTCGCTTTACAACTGCAATCCAAGCCGCAGGTATTCCTCGCTTTACGACCGCAATTGGGATCAGAATTTCCTCTGCTAAGCAAGGCAGTTGTTAAGTATATGATTCTGAAACGCTGCAACCGTCATCAATACATACCAATTGCCAAGCGCCCGAATTCAGATTACATGACTTACAAGGACATTGCCGCGGTCGTAAATGTGAGGACCGGTTCATAAGTTAACTCTTTTCAGTGTGGTCGTTACTTCAAAGAATTGCTGAGCGAATTGTTGCAAATCAAACACTGTCTACCTACCGCACTTTGCAAAGTCAGATCAACGCTTTGCCTTTGCAGACTTCGCCTCAAACCTCATGAGGACTAGCTGCCTGCAGAGCCAAGCGCCATAAATTTGTGATACTTTAAGGCTAAACAATACTGTAACCGCTCTTGGCCTTGCTTCCCGAAGCCGTAAAAGGAGATTTTAACCTACCTTGGACTGGAGAACTAAAGAAGAAGAAAAATGAAGAATTTTGCTCATTCGTCCGCCAGGGAAATCATCTTTTTCCAAGAAAAATCACAGCCAGAAATTAACACTTGAGTTGAAAAGTTTTATTTACAGCCAGTGTTTAGTTCCATCATTGCCAAAAAAACACGTTTTCCATTTCTTGTACTCCTTTTTTCGTGTGTGTGTGTGTGTGTGTGTGTGTGTGTTGGCAGCCCCCTTCTTTTTTTAAAAAAAAAAAAATTGTGCAAGCAGCTTTGGGAGAAAATGTTTATTTGGAAAAACGGAGGAGTCTGATTAAAAACAAATACTATTGCAGTGGGATTTGTGTGGATTTTGTGTGTGTGTGTGTGTGTGTGTGTGAGTGTTTTCAGCCCAGGACGAGCCGCAGTTCTGGGCAGGTGATTATAGAGAGTGGATTTCTTTCAGGCCAGCCAAGGAAACCAATTAAATGGATGGATAAAAGCCAGGAAAACTTCACAGAAGTTTGTTTTTATTGGCTCAGGGTTCCCCGTTTCTGGCCACGTTCACACAACCAGTTTCCCCGAGTCGGTAGAAAATGTGAGTTAGTTCAGGTTTGAGGTGAGAATCCCACCTGTCTGCATAATTTACAATTTGTGTATTATTATGCCAAGCCAGGAAAGGGGGATTTTGATCCCCGGGTCAAACAGGTTGTGTGAATGCGGACTTTCACGGGTCAAGAAGGAAAACACACACACACATACTTTCTGCTGCATTTAATCTGCCTCCGCTCTTTTTCCAAGTCAGATTAACCGTTTTCATTTTGATCGAGCAACGTCAAGAGTCCCCAAGGCAGACCAAGGGATCTCTCCATCCGGTCACGTGGATGGTCAAGGTTGCCCTTATCAGAAACCAGGATCCGGCCACCTGCTTCCTGGCTTACGAGATCTTTTGTCTCCATCCCGGCTGGGCAGGAAGTGTCAGGAAGGCCGTTTTGTGCCCCCATTCCGTTGTGATTTTGCAAATAGCCGACGCGCCTTGTGGTTCCTCCTCTTGCAATCCTCCAGGGATAGATCATACGCCGACCAGCAAATCTGAAAGATTTTGAACAAATCAGGATTGTTGTTGGGCTTCCCTTGGGGAGGTGTGTGTGAAATTCTTGGGGTTGCCGGCTGTTTCCACCCACTCGTAACCCTCAACCCTATTGTTGCGTTTGCTAAATGGGGGGATGCCCAAACTGAACCCTATTTTGATTTGTACGGGCTAAATGAAGTTGGAAGGGACCCAAGACATGTGGACTTTATAAAGCAGTCCTAACACTTCACGCGATCTTGATTTTATCCCTCTGTTAATGCAGCCTAGAATTGTGTTGGCTTTTTTGGCAGCTGCAGCACACGGCTGGCTCATCTTTAGGTGATTGTCTACTAAGACTCCAAGATCCCTCTCAACAGTTGCTACTATTGAGCAAGGTACCACCTATACCAGAGGTCCCTAGCGTTTTGGGCATCGGGGACCCGTTCCGTGGAGAGAGGTTTTTCCACAGACCAGAAGGTGCGTGGTTTTGTGTGCTGCCTGCATCCCACAGATGGGGCTTTGCTCGTTTGTGGGGACCGAATGCTGGCATGCCACAGCCCTGACCTACACCATCCTTGTGCATTTGGTTTTTCTTGTCTAAATGCTACTCGGGAACCATCCCCATATCTCCATCCGGGGGAATAACGCAAACCCACCCATGCAGAAATTCTCCACCAAAGTTGCTGTTTTTTGTTTTTTTTAAAGATATTTATTAACATTCTCACTTTCAAGAGGAAGAATCCGACCTCCGCTTTTCCAAAGAGGCCCCTTTGCCTTTGTCCAGGCGTTATCAATTCAGCCAGATGTTGTTTCCTCTTTTTTAAAAAAAAAATCCTGCCACCCAGCTTCGCTCAGGGCTGACTGAAAAAAAAAAAAAAAAAACCCGAAAACAATTGGCAATACAACAGGGGCGTACGCAAGAATTTGGGGAAAGGGCCTCTCTCTGGCTGGTGACCAGTAATGTCGTTTTATTTCTATTTAAAAGGAAAACAGCCCTCTTTCGCTGACACAGGCATTTCTGCAATCTGGCCAGGGACCGTTCCAAATCGCGACGGCACCGAAAAAAAGTGATGGAATGACCGCTTTTCACACTTAACGACCAGGTGATCAAAATTCGGATGCTTGGCAACTGAAGCACATTTATGACGGTCGCAGTGTCCCGGTGGGATCCCCTTTGGAGACCTTGTGACCAGCAAAGTCAAGAGGGAAGACAGACTAACTTAAAACTTGCAGGTCGTCAAAGGGGGCCAAACTCACTTAACGAATTTCTCACTTAGCAATGACATAAATTTTGGGCTCAGTTGCGGCCGTTAAGTCGAGGACTACCTGCAGCTGGTGCTTTCCCCATTTTTCACCCCTCCCCCGAGCAATCTTCCAGCCCTTCCCTCTGCCCTCTCTGGGGTGAATGGGCACCCAGAAAAATAAAACCCCAAGCCATAACCTGCCCTAAAATTTCATTTTGGCACATACGACAGCCAAGTGGCAAGGAGTTCCACAGTCCACCCTCCTTTCGAGCTCCACCTTTGGGGTCCAAAGCTGGATCTTTGAAATATTGCTCATCAGAAAGAAAGAAAGAAAATGGGGGACGCGCGCCCCCCGCACATATTCTATCGAAATTCAACGCCCCCCCCCTCTTAATTTCCCTGGATAGAAGGGGGAGGGAAAACAAGGAAGATTTCAACACTAGCAGAACTTCGAAAAGTGCAGGGATCTATTTCAAGGCTGCAAATCTTGGCTTAATTGGCAACCTTGTGCGCCCAAACTCTTAAAACTGGGGTATCTTTGAATCACAAAAGGCACCCATAAAATTCTTATTTTCCCCACCCAGTTTTGGAGTGCAAGTCTCAGCACTGCTATGTAAAAACAGGCTCAACCTTTAAGCCAGGGAATAACAACATTTTGAAATAGTTTGGCAATTCCCCCCCCCCCTGTAGGGGACCCAGTTGGATGGATGGATAAACGGGAATCTGTCCTTCCAAACGCAATGCACCCTAAATTTGCACATCCTGTCTGCCAGGTCTCCCAACACGGCTGCAGTTTTTACAGTATTTTGCACCCAGATTTAGCTTGTCCATAGCTTAACCCATTGTTTTGTGTATGATCCATCGTATTCCAGGAATTCAGAAAAAAGGGTTTATTCAGTAGCCTTTTAAAAGTCCTTTCTTTTTTTGGAGTCTATGATCCCCGTAGATCTCTTTCTGTGGTTCCTCCAGATCTGCTCTTGCAGGGATTAAAATTGGGAGTCAACAAGAGTGGGGAGAAAGTGCCAAGGAATCAGATGCTTTTTTCCCTCCCCCCAAAAAAATCCTGTCCAAATTCAAGCGATAACCACATTCGTGAACGCCGGTTCCAGACAGCGAGAAGAAAGCTACAAAATGGTGAATCCTTTTTTTTTTTGCAAAGTTTCCACCAAATTTGCAAACGGCTTCTCGGATTTTCTCTCTCATTTGTCCTGCAGGAAATCAGAATCCAGGCAGATCTGTCTCCTCCTCAATTCCGCCTAACAACCATCCTGCAGGGCAGGCCATCCCGAGGATATGCAGAGAAATTCTTCACCTCGGTGGAGGAAGCCAGCAAGGCGACCCCATCCAAACCGCCTGTGTTTCCATCTGGATGGGGGGGGGGGAAGTCCACAGGCCAAGTTAAGCCAAGGGGCGGCTTTCGAAAGACTCCTGTGAGACTCCCAAACCTTGCTACTCTCATTCAAGGGGGAAAAGGGGGGGGAAGAGGGGGGGATTTAGCCATAAAAATTCCTCATTAGGTTAGTGAAGGAGAGTCTTCGTTCTTTGACCCGCAAGGATCCTGCTTCTGCTGCTCAGCTGCCTTCAAAGGAACTGACTGGCCAGCAGGGTGGCGGGTTCGAGTTCTTCCCCAGAAGAGACACCTCGGGGGGGGGGGGAAAAGATCAGAAACCTACACAGGTCACCCAAAAGCCTGGGGAGCCAGCATTTGCCCACCAGCCTTTACACCTTCTAACTGAATTTTAAAAAAAGTTCCCCGCCGAAGAGTATTGTGTCATCCAGAAGCTGGCTGCGTTGGCAACAGACTTGGAATCGAAGTTAAATACCGGGAAAGAGAGGGTGTGTGTGTGTGTGTGTGTCTGTCTGTGTCTGTCTCTGTGTGTGGATTGCCTCCTTCCTCTCCTCCCTTCTTCCTCTCCGCGGGGTTCCCACGCTCCCGGGCTGCCGTCCGTCCGTCCGTCGGGCGCGTCAGCCCCAGCCCCGCCGGCAGCCTCACTCGTCGGGGGACCAGGCGGGGTGCGGCTGGTCGGGGCTGCCCACGCTGCCGGTGCTGGAGCTGCCGTCGCCCAGATCGCGGGGTCCGCAAGGCAGGCTGAGCTCGGACGAGCCTCCGCCCGGGCTGGGGCTGGCGTCGGGGCGGGCGCCGGCGGCGGCGGCGCTGGCGGCGGCGCAATCCTCCAGCGCCAGGCAGAGCTCCTTCAGCTCCAGGTTGTCCTGCGCCAGCCGCTCCTGCAGCCCTTCCAGGCCGGCCAGCTTGCGCAGGCAGGCGGCCACCTCGTCGCGCAGCACTTGCGCCGCGTGGTGCCCGAAGAGCTGCCAGTGGCGGGCCAGGCGCTTGGCTTTCAGCCGGTCCTCGTCCAGGAAGCAGCAGAGGTCGCGCAGCTCGCGGTTCTCCGCCTGCAGCCGCCCGTTCACCGCCTTCAGCTCGCGGATCTCGCGCAGATGCTCCTGGAGCTGCCGGTTCACGCCCTGGATCAGGCGGCCGCGCTGCACCAGCGCCGCCAGCTTCTCGGCCTCCTCGCGGCGCAAGCGGCGCACCAGCTCCTCCTTGCTGCAGCCGCCCAGCTCCGCCTCGCCCGCGGGGGCCTCGCCAGGCGGAGGCGGCGGCGGCGCAGGGGCAGCCGCGGCCGGCGGGCTGGAAGGGCGGCTGGCGGGCGGCGCCGGGAACATCGCCTCGCTCAGCTCCGGCCGGGGCCCGTGGAGGAAGGCAGCCGGCTAGCCCGCCGGGGCGGCAGCGGCATCTTTGCAAAGCGGGAAGGCGGCAGAAGCGGCGCGCTGCGCTTGCAGCTGGGCGTCCAGCCCGCCCCGGCGCCGGGAGAATAACGGGACGCGCGGCCGCCGGGCGCTGCGCCTCCGCCGGCCAGGAGCAGGTGCATCGCGGGCAGAAGGGCGCCTGCGCGGCGGGAGGGGGGGGGAGGGAGGGGAGGGGGAGCGGCCTGGGGCGGGGGGGGTCGGTGCAAAGGGAGTGGGTGGGTTGGGAGGCGGAGGAGCGCGCGCGCGCACGTGTGCACGCAGGCGCGCACGTGTGCATGCACGCGTGCAGGCGCGCACGTGTGCATGCACGCGTGCAGGCGCGCACGTGTGCATGCACGCGTGCAGGCGCGCACGTGTGCATGCACGCGTGCCTGCGCGAGGGGGGGGCGGGTGGGAGAGGAGGGTGTCGCTGGCTTTTGCAAGCCGGGAGAATTGGGGGGGGGGTGAGTGCGTGGGTGGGGTGGGGAAACGGAGCTTGTCTGCGGCCCCCCCCCTTCCACGGATTGGCATCCGGATTCAGGGGTTTCTCCCGGGATACCCACGCACCCACCCACTCCGGGTTCTGGGACGCGCGAGCAGCCGTGTTCTGCAGCTTGGCAAGGCGCGGGCAAAACAGATTCCTGGTGCTTCCCACGCAGGATGGGGCGAGGGGCCGTGGAGATGGAGATGAGGAAGGAGTGGGGGGGTCCCCGTGGGGTTTGGCGTAGGGCGCTAGCCGAGATGCGGGTTGGAGGAGTTGATGCAAAGGAAGATGGGGTTGGGGAGGTTGAATGTCGCTTTGCAAGCGAAGGAAGGACTGGCAAGCCCGCCAGGGTCGTCTGAACGTGCGGCAGCAGGCTTGCTGGAAGACACGGGGGTCTTCAGGATGGCCTCAACAGCGGTTGTGGAGGGGGGAAACATCAAGGCGACGAGTTTTCTGGGCTTGGGTCGCTGAAAGAGGCTGGAGAAGGGGCGAGGTTGCCCCGTTCTGCGGTTTGTGGCTTGGCCCGTGCAGGCTGGGGTCGTGTGAACTCTGCCAACGGGTTAATGAAGGAGGTGGCGGGAACCAATTACTCAGGGCTGCGTCGTCTGGCTGCTCTGCCAAGTAATTTCCTTTGCATTCTGTGGGAAACGGCTCTGAATCACTCACTGGCGGCCCATTTGGCTGGCCGGCACATCCTGCCCTGCAGCTTTTGTGTTAAGTGAGTATTGTCTCACTTTGCAGGATACAGTCAGCTTTCTAAAATCCAGGGGTTGGGTTATCTCCCAAACCAGGTTTAGCTTGACGGGTGAGTCACTTAAATCCAGTTTTCTACCCATCGGTTTGGAGGGGGATAAATCAAATTCCTCTTTAGGATTGCTTTGTCAAATGCTATTCCCCCACACACCGTGGAAAACAGATTTTAAAATCCAAACTGATTCAATTTGAGGCTTCGGTTTTCCTTTTCCCACCCGGAGTGTTTTCCTTCAGTGTCGTGCCTTCGTCAAACAGCAGCCCCCAAGAGCAAAGGGCCTTCTTTGGACTGGTTTATAATTTGTAAACTGGAAGTTTTTAAGAAGAGACTGGACAGCCATTTGTCCGAAATGGTATAGGCGCCTGAGCAGGGCGTTGGACTAGATGACCTCCAAGGTCCCTTCCAACTTTATTATTGTTATTATTAAATTTGATTGTGAAAGGTAAATAAAATCTCAGAAGTAGTGGTTGTAATTCTTTTATACCAAAATAAATTGGGCTTGCTCTCCTGGCAAGGACAGTGTGACTGATTCCTAGCCTGGTTAGCCAGACTATGGTTTACCTTGTTAAACTACAGGTCGTCCTCAATTTACAGCAGTTCATTTAGTGACCAGTACAACAGCACTGAAAAAAGTGACCTAGGTCCGTTTTTCACACGACCCTTGCAGCATCACCATGGACAGGAGATCAAAATTCAGATGCTTCGCAACTGATTCGTATTTATGATGGTCACTGTGTCCCAGGGTCGTGTGATCTCTTTTTGCGACTTTCCAACAAGCAAAGTCAACAAGGAAGCAAAATTCATTTAATAACCATGTTACTAGCTTAATAAATGTAGTGATCTACTTAAGAACTGTAGAAAGAAAGAGAATAAGAATAGGAATAGGAATAGGAATAGGAATAGGAATAGAATAGAATAGAATAGAATAGAATAGAATAGAATAGAATAGAATAGAATAGAATAGAATAGGAGTTAGAATGGAATAGAAAATAGAATAGAATAGAGCAAGGAAGAGAATAGAATAGAATAGAATAGAATAGAATAGAATAGAATAGAATAGAATAGAATAGAATAGAATAGGATAGAATAGGATAGAATAGAATAGAAGGGAACCTTGGAGGTCTTCTAGTCCAGCCCCCTGCTCAAGCAAGAGAATCTATACCATTTCAGGTAAGTGACTGTCTAGCTTCTTCTTAAAGGTCGTAAAATGGGGCAAAACTTTCACAAATGACTTGCTTAGCAACAGAAATGTTGGGGTCAGGTGTGGTTATGAATTGAGGACTATCTGTAATTTTCTGCAATGTTTTGAAGCCTAAACTCTGCGTCGGGCTCTTTCGGGGTTCTGTCCGTGAACCTCCAAAACCTGGCTTAGCCCGGCCTTGATTCTTAGCTTGCTGCTAACCCTCTTTGCAAATTTCCCATTGATTGATTTTTTTTTTCCCTGCTAGGGGAAAAGACAGATAAGCAAGATGGACAGGCCAAGACACCTTTAATTTGTTTTTCTCCGGGGTTACCATCGTTCAAGAGGATGTGAGTCAGGCCAGAAACTTTAAAGGGGAGGGAGAGAAAAATCTTGAGTTTTTGACATGCCTGGGTGCTGTGCCAAGTAGAACTCGGTGCCTGCCTCGTTGCTTGGCACAAAGGAGAGTTTTGTCAGTGCTGGCATTAAAAGGAAAGCAGAAAGGGATTCCTGCATGGAGAGAGTTTGCAGGCAGAGACTGTGTGTGTGTGTTTGTGTGTGTTCGAAAGTGGGAGCCCCCCCAAATTTGCTGCAAAAGAGAGAAACCAGCACACAGCTCTACCAGTAGGAACGCTTGGGCTATTTAACATGTCCCATCCACCCCATCAACACCCCAATTAACAACACACAACCAGGCCCTGCATAAATACAGGTGGTCCTCAACTTACAACAGTTCATTTAGTGACGGTTCGAGGTTACAACGGCCCTGAAAATGGCCGTTTTTTTTCCACACTTAACAAGAATTCTGAGGTCAGGCAATCCAAATTGAGTCCCTTGGCAACTGCCTCGTGTTTTGTGCATGTCGTTGTGCTCAGGGTACACTGGCTGAGGAGGATGGTTGTTGTAATCCTTATCTGGGTGATAACATAGTTCAGTTCAACGCTCCTCCTGCTTTCGAAGTTAAATCGGCTTATTTTTGCCTTTCTCCAAGCATGTTGAGTGGCATCTCCCATGATTCTGCACTGGCCGCTGGGGATGAGTGGTGTGGTAGTTAGAGAAATCCCTGTTTGGAAGGAAGGTGCTTATTCCGTGGATTACAAATCCAATACTTGGTTATAATGTGAGTAGCTGGGCCCCAGATGAGCCCCATGCCAAGAGATGGCAGAATAACTGATGAATAAAGGAGATTTTATTTAAAAGTACAAAGGGATCAATGTTCTTCAGTGCTCAAAACAATGAATTAATCATGCTTCTAGTCCTCAGCTTCAGCACTAGTTCCAGCCCCAAAGCCCAAAGGGATCATTTTTTTAAATGCACAAAACACTGAATTAATCATGTTTCTAGTCCTCAGCTTCAGCACTATTTCCAGTCCCAAAGCCTAAAGGGATCAATTTTTAAAGAACGCACAAAGCTGATTAATCATGTTAGTAGTGCTTAGCTATTTTCCAGTCCCATTTTAGGTCTCAAAATGTGCGTGTATATTTTTTTAATTTTATGTTCATTCCAGAAGGCTTAACCACCCTAGGGAAGCCTCCTCTGAAATGCATCGGACCACAACTCCCACAAGCCCCATCCTAGGCTTTTGACCCGTATATGAAGTCTCTATATATACATAGATCATATGTGGGTCATAAGCCTATGATGGGGCTTGTGGGAGTTGTGGTCCGATGCATTTCAGAGGAGGCTTCTCTAGGGTGGTTAAGGCTTCTGGAATGAGCAGCATAATACATATACATACACACACACGCATATACATGTACACCATATATATATATATATATATACACGTTATCTACACATACATACATATATAAATATATATATACATATATATATATAGTAAGTGTTTTCCAGTGAAACTGGTCTAATAGAGCACCTGGTCTACTGTTATGATTGCTTGGCTAAATAGCTCTAAATAGCTATACTAGTCTCCCTTTAACTCTTGTCAGCAAAATCTAAATTACATATATATATATATATATATATATATATATATATATATATACATACACACATATATATTATACACACACACACACACACACACACACATATGCACATATACATACACATTTTGAGAACTAAAATGGGACTGGAAAATAATTAAGGTCTAGTAACAAGATCAATCAGTTTGGACTGGAAAATAACTAAGGACTAGTAACAAGATCAATCAGTTTGGACTGGAAAATAACTAAGGACTAGTAACAAGATCAATCACTTTGGACTGGAAAATAATTAAGGTCTAGTAACATGATCAATCGGTTTGGACTGGAAAATAACTAAGGACTAGTAACAAGATCAATCAGTTTGGACTGGAAAATAACTAAGGACTAGTAACATGATTAATCAGGCCGACGGGTAGACGAAGGCCTCTAAGGAGGCGCTTGCCAGTTGTAAAGATGGAAACCGAGAATACAGCGCGGGGCGGGAGGGAACGAGAAAGAGTGTGTTGCGCATGCGCAAGTCCCATCCGGGCGAGCGGCGACCCGGAAGAGATTCTGCCCGGCGAGGTCACGTGAAAGGCTCCATCTAAACAGCTGCAAATGGGCGCTGGTGGGTTTTGTTTGCAGCTGGGATGCAAAATGGATGGGTATCGAGGGGGCCGTTTGGGGCTTGGCTGGCCGGGCTTTTTGTGCGGAGATGGGCCGCTGAACGGGCCGGGAAGAGACGGGGAGTCTCTATCCAGCGAGGGGAGGGGGGCATGGGTGCCTCTGAGCATGTACAGAGTGCCACGCCTCTTCCCTTTCGGGGGAGCAGAACGGCTGGCAGAGGCTGTAAAGCGAGGAGGGGGAAATAATAAAAGTACGAGAGGCGCAATTCAAGAAAAGGCGAAAAAAATAGCTGTTGTGCATATGAATCAGACTTTTAACTCCTATAAAATAACTTTTTTTAAAAAAACCGCACCTTTCCTAGAGTGCATTCTTTCATATGATTTAATCCCCACTCTCCTTCTTTGGGGAAAATATATATATATTAAAGGGGTCTTCCCCCGTAAATGTGCAATAATCGAGTGGACTTTAACCCTTCCGTGAACGTGTACTATTTTTAAATGAATATTTTAAGTATTTAATGTTTCATACCACATATGCTTGCTTTGGGATGTGTTTAAACATCCTCCTCTTTTTCTAGTGCTTTCTGCAGAGACGAGAGTAGTTTTATTTTAAAAATTTTTCCATCCTTTGATTCAATATTTCAGGGCAGTTGGCTGCCTGAATTCCCCCAAAGACTTTAAAACACAAAAGTCACAACCGGGCTGTAAAGGCCCCAAATGTTGGAAGACTTCTGGGTTGGAGCTTGCTGGCTACGAGAGTCTCAGAGGTGGAAAAGACCTTGTGGACGAGAACCTTGACTTCTCTGCTTTCCTTGCAGGCTGTGGGGTGCAGCCCGATGCCGGCAAGGGATTCCGTGTCAGAAAAAAGGGACTCCATTAATCATGACCAGCAATCTGGACATTTTTGTGGGGAACACAACCTTGATTGATGAGGAGGTCTATCAACTGTGGCTAGATGGATATTCTGGTAAGTCTTGGTCCTTCACATCTATGAGAGTGACAGTATAAAACAGTGATTCTCAATCATGGTAACTTGAAAATGGTGGACTTCAACTCCCAGAATTCCTCAACTGGCTGGAGAATTCTGGGGTTGAAGTCCACCCATCTTAACCCATGCTAGTTGGGGAATTCTGGGGGTTGAAGTCCACCCATCCTAAAACATGCTGGCTGGGGAATTCTGGGAGTTGAAATCACCCATTTTAAAGCATGCTGGCTAGGGAATTCTGAGAGGTGAGGTCCACCCATCTTAAAACATGCTGGCTGGGGAATTCTGGGGGTTGAAGTCCACCCATCTTTAAGCTGCCACGTTTGAGAAACTCTGGAGTAGATGATCTCTAAAATCCCAGTCCTGGCAATCTGGGAGGACATTAACTGGATTCATACATGTGTTTCATTGTGGGTCTGTGCATGCTTTTTCTTGGCTTTGATTGGTTACAGTAGCTTTAAAGCCAGGCAGTCCACAAATATTTGCAGTCCGCAAATCTTCCCCTGGTGTGAAACTCATTTCTTGAGACAAATCTTTCCCTCTTGGCTTTTTCCCCAGTGGACGATGCCGTCTCTCTCCGCCTACGCTCTGGCATCCTGGAGCAGACCGGAGCCACGGTTGACGTGCTCCAGAGTGACACCATGGACCATTACCGCACTTTCTACATGCTGGAGCGTCTCCTCCATTCGCCCCCCAAATTGCTGAACCAGCTGCTTTTCCAGATCCCGCCTTGCCGACAGACCATGCTGATTGAGAGGTGGGCCAGCCAACAGGAGAATTGAGAAAATGGCATCTGGGTTGGGTTTGTGCAACACATTCGTTTAGGACAGGGGTCTTCAAACGTGGCCCTTTGATGACTTGTGGACTTCAACTCCCAGAATTCCTCAGCCAGGCACGCGTACATACAGTATCTCAGGTTTGACAAAACCACTATTTACATGATAATATCAGGGATCTGAAGGATAACTTGTACAATGAACGCCTAAGGAAACTAGATACGTTTAGCCTAATGATGAGAAGGACTAGGGCAGACATGATAGCAGTGTTCCAATATCTCAGGGGCTGCCACAAAGAAGAGGGAGTCAAGCTATTTTCCAAAGCACCTGAAGGCAGGACAAGAAGCAATGGATGGAAACTAACCAAAGAGAGAAGCAACCTAGAACTAAGGAGAAACTTCCTGACAGAACAATTAACCAGTGGAACAACCTGCCTCCAGAAGCTGTGACTGCTCCAACACTGGTCTAGGGTTTCCTGCTTGAGCAGGGGGCTGGACTAGAAGACCTCCAAGGTCCCTCCCAGCCTTAGGAGTCTACTTCTTTGTTTATTTGGAAGGAAGTAATTTGATAAATGATGGTAATGATTTGATCCTGCTCTTATTCGTCCAATTTCCAGGTACTATGCCTTCAATGACGCCTTTGTCCGCGAGGTCCTGGGTAAAAAACTATCAAAAGGAACCAAGAAAGATCTGGATGATATCAGTGCCAAAACGGGGGTGACCCTGAAAAGCTGCCGCCGACAGGTAAGTCTGGACCTGAATTCCCAGGACCAGCTTTTTTTATGGAATGAATGGAAAATATGTTCTCCAGATACTTCACAATCAAGAATATTTGCTTGTTTGTGTCAGACACGGTGCAACCCCCATCCTGATTTTTTTTTTTGCAACTGCAGACAAACATGGTTGGCCTCCCGCGTTCATGTCTGTTGTTGTTGTTGTTTTCTTTTTCAGTTTGACAATTTCAAGCGTGTTTTCAAGGCCGTGGAGGAACTGCGTGGATCTTTAGTTGAAAATATTCAACAGCACTTCTTGCTTTCCGATCGCTTAGCCGGGTACGAAAATAAGCATGTGTGATGTTTGTGCTTAAGGTAGAGTTTTTAGGACTCCTACTTTGGGCAGGGGGGTGAGACTAGAAGATCTCCAAGGTCCCTCCCAGCCCTATGATTCTATGAATCCCAGATTCTGGGCACCCAATCCACCATAGAATTCAAGGAGAGATTTTGGACTAGTCTCTGTTTCTCTCGCGTCCTTCCTCCCTCCCTCCCTCCCTCCCTCCCTCCCTCCCTCCTTGTTTCTGTCTCCTTCCTTTCACCTTCCTTTCTTCCTTCCCTCCCTCCTTCCCTTTCTGTCTCCTTCCTGTCTTTCTCCTTCCTTTCTTCCTTCCCTCTATATCTGTCTCCTTCACAAACACACACACACACAGGCTAAGAGCAGTGTTTGGTAACCTTGATAGGCAGTGTTTCTTAACCACGGCAACTTTAAGATAGGTGAACTCCAACTCCCAGAATTCCCCAGCCTTACTGGCTAAGGAATTCTGGGAGTTGAAGTCCACATATCGTAAAGCTTATAAAGGTTGGGAAACACAACTCTAGAGCTTCCAGAGCTAGGGTGGGATTGCAGTAAAGAATGACACAGTTTTGTCCACCCACCCCCTCCCTGTGTGTTGTTCCCTGGCAGCGAGGGTCCAGAGATTTGAACGCAGCGGGCACCGTTGCTAGAGGATGTGCCTCTGAGCGCATGCAGAATGCAAAACGGCCCCCAAAGTCATTAGCAGGAAGGCCCACTCCCATTGTTTGGTTGTGTCTGAGATGCAAAATACCAGTTTAGCCCAGCTAGCAATTAATCTGTTAATTTTTCCAACTAGACCGGAGAGGAATTACGACCAGATAATGCTAATTTCTAGTTTATGGTAAAGCTATATTGACAGGACCTTGCAAGTCTGAAAGCAAAGCTGGCTGAGGAATTCTGGGAGTTGAAGTCCACCAGTCTTATTACACAGCTGAGGGCTCGGCTGTCTCTTCTCTTGTGTCAAGATGGCTGGCAAACAAAATGAATAATAATAACAGTATTAATCTAATCATCTCTGTCTTGTCGTTCAGTGGTCTTTTACTATTACAGAATCCCACCAGATATTGGTTGCCCCTGAACTAAAAACAGAGATTTCTCCAGAAATACATCGAAGAAGGAAATATTTTTTTTTTCCTTCTAAACTGAAGTTTGAAGAGAAAGGCCCTTGGGTCTCTTAAGCAGAAACGGACTTTTTACGCACAATTAACCTACCAAAGGCAGACTTGGGCCGATCGGTCAAGACCCTCCCCTTCATCCTTGCTGACCAACTGCCCTAGTGGTTAAGATGTCCTGGCTTAAACCCCCAAAACTTCTTCCCCCCCCCCTCCACAGGGATTATGCTGCCATTGTGTTTTTCGCCAATAGTCGCTTTGAGACGGGAAAAAAGAAACTGCAGTATTTGAGCTTCGAGGATTTTGCCTACTGCGCCGAGCAGATGATCGAGAACTGGACTCTGGGGGCGATGGGTAAGATGGCAGATCCTTCAGGGTACGGGGTGGGGTGGGGGTGCTGGAGGAGTGGAGGCTAAAACATATAAGGAATTGTTGCTGGAATTGGGTATGTCTAGTTTAATGAGGAGAAGGACGAGGGGGGACATGATAGCAGTGTTCCAGTATCTCAGGGGCTGCCCCAAAGAAGAGGGAGTCAAGCTATTCTCCAAAGCGCCTGAAGGCAGGACAAGAAGCAACGGATGGAAACAAATCAAGGAGAGAAGCAACCTAGAACTAAGGAGAAACTTCCTGACAGTTAGAACAATTAACCAGTGGAACAACTGCCTCCAGAAGCAGTGAATGCTCCAACACTGGAAGTTTTTAAGAAGAGACTGGACAGCCATTTGTCCGAAATGATATAGGGGTTGGACTAGATGACCTCCAAGGTCCCTTCCATCACCACCACCATCATCATCATTATTATTATTATTATGGATCATCGCACAGTCAGCCAGATGTTCAGACTGGATTTGGCATTTTATCTACCTATCGAGTCCTTACCCAGGACCTGGGATAGGCAGATGTGGATGTTTGATGGTATTACAGGTATCGTCGCAGGATGGAAGCAGTTCCTAATAAGGCCGCCTTTTGCAATTGACTAATAGCGAATTTGTCAATGCCAATGGTGTTCAAGTGGTGCTCCAGTTGTTTTGGGATTGCACCCAAGGAGCCTATGACTATTGGTACTACCCTTGCTTGCTTTTGCCACAGTCTTTCTATTTCTATTTGTAGGTCTTTGTATTTTGTTATCTTCTCCAGTTCTTTCTCTTCTATTCTGCTGTCTCCAGGCACTGCCACGTCCACTATCCAGACTTTTTTGTCTTTCTTATCGACAATTGTTAAGTCTGGGGTGTTATGTTGCAGGTGCTTGTCTGTTTGAATTCTGAATTATTATTATTATTATTATTATACTGTTCCCTTGGCACTGTTCAACTAGTTGCCACATACCATTACACCTGCCACCAGACTCTGTAATTTAAACCCTTAATTCTATCATTTAAATCCATTCTCCTCTGGCTTTTGCTTGGCGACATTGCAAGCCTGCATTTAAAGGGCATTTTCGTGCCCTCTTTTAATCATATCTTCTCCGGGCTAAGCCATTCCCTACTTGTAAAATCTTGTTTCTAACTCTCCAGTCATTTTTCTCCTTGCCCTTTGGGAAAACATGTTCCCAGCTGCCTAAATTCGTCTGAAATGTGGGCACCTATAAGAATATCACCCACCCTCCCCAGAGATAAGATTCTAGTCCTCGTTTGGGTCAAATTCTTCGACAAATTAAAGCTGTGGTCCCTCGGAAGGAGGGACCAAGAATCTGTCAAGGTAGAGAAATATAAACTTGGTAATTATGAGGCAGTTCGGTGTAGTGGTTAAGATGCTGGGCTGGAAACCAAGAGATTGTGAATTCTAGTCCCACCTTAGGAATGAAAGCCAGCTGGGTGACTTTGGGCCAATCACCAGGAGGCTGTGAGTTCTAGTCCCACCTTAGGCATCAAAGCCAGCTGGGTGGCTTTGGGCCAATCACCAGGAAACTGGGAATTCTAGTCCCACCTTAGCCATGAAAGCTGGTTGGGTGACTTTGGGGCCAGTCACTTTCTCTCAACCCAGCCCACTTTACAGAGTTGCTGTTTTTAAGTTAAAAAAAAAAGAGAAGGAAGCAACAATTGCAGACCTTCACCACCTTGGGTTGCTTATAAAGGAATAAAGGCGGAAACAAACAAACAAACCAACAAACGGCTCATTTTATTTGTCCTGGCAGATACGAACGTGGACGACATGGACGTCGACTTGGATAAAGAATTTTTACAGGGCCTGAAAGAGTTAAAGGTTCTGATTGCAGACAAAGATCTGTTGGATCTGCACAAGAGGTATGGAAGGGGCTGCTGGGAGGGGGCTTTGCAGAATACTCAAAGTTTTGGGTTAGCGCACAAGGCAAATTCGTGTTTTGCACTTTGCCTATAAGGCAGGTGAATAATGTGTTAGGAACTGGCTGGAGATGATATTACTAGATATCTGTCTGGGATGCTATAGAGTCACCTGCTTGGGGGGGGGCTGGACTAGAAGACCTCCAAGGCCCCTTCCAGCCTTGAGCATTCCAACATTTGAGTGTGTGTGTGGGGGGGGTGTTCTCTAAAATTTCCTGATTTTTTTTCCTGGTTCTTTTTCATTCTTGCTCCACAGCCTGGTCTGCACAGCGCTGCGGGGGAAGATCTCCGTCTTCAGTGAGATGGAAGCCAATTTTAAGGTGGGTCCAGCTGGAGCCCAGGTCCAGAGTTTGAATCCTGACACACCTCCCTTTGCTCCCACAATCTCCTTGTTATGTAATAGGTAAAAAAAAAAAAATCTGAATTTTCTCCAGAATCTGATACAAATCGGGAAGTCCTTGTGAGCGGTTATTTATCATTTGGCCACACGGGGGTGCCAGTGCACTTTGGGGAAAAAAAGCCCACCCTCCTGCAGAGCCACAAAATAGGGGTTTTACAGATGTAGACAAGATAAAAATAGCGGGGTTTTTGGTGCAATGTCTTGATCACTTTAAGATAAGTGGACTTCAGTTCCCAGAATTCCCCAGCAGCATGGCTGGCTGGGGAGTACTGGGTGTTGAAGTTCACAGATTTTTTAAATTGCTGTGGTTTGGGAATACTGTTCTAATTATTGATTCCCTTGTCTGTTCTGTTCTATTCTATTCTATTCTATTTCTAGTCTATTCTATTATTCTATTCTATTTCTATTCTTTCTATTCTATTTCTATTTCTATTCTTATTTCTATTCTAATTCTATTCTATTCTTATTTCTATTCTATCCTATCCCGTCCCATCCTGTTCTGTTCTGTTCTGTTCTATTCTATTCTACATTCCTTATCTGAGATGGTATAGGTTCTCCTGCTTGAGCAGGAGGCTGGACTAGAAGACCTCCAAGGTTTATTCTATTCTATTCTGTTCTATTTTATTCTATTCTAATTTCTATTCTATTCTATTCTATTCTATTTGATTCGATTCCATCCCATCCCATCTTATTTTTTCATTTTATTATATTTAATCAAATTTCTATAGCTGCCCATCTCACCAAAAATGACTCTCTTGCAGAATCTCAGTCGGGCTTTGATCAACATTGCCTCGAAGCTTACCCACAGCAAAGACGTCCGGGATTTTTTTGTTGATCTGGTGGAAAAGGTAATGTGAATCCCTTCCAGCTCTGGGAATGTGGGTTTTGAGCTGCCTAACATTTATAGTTTTAGATCTAGATATCAACTCCCAGAATCCCCCAGCCAGCTTGCTTTAAGAGGAATGGACTTCCACTCCCAGAATTCCCCAGCCAGCTTGCTTTAAGAGGGGTGGACTTCCACTCCCAGAATCCCCCAGCCAGCCCTGTTGGCTGGGGAATTCTGGGAGTTGAAGTCTTTCCATGTTAAAGTTGCCAAAATTGAGAGACACCACCTTGGAGTGCTACAGGATCTCAGAAAGTGACCTGGAATTGGAAAAACATCAACACCCCTTTAGGCCCCGCGCTGAATCCATTCGGTTTTTATTTAAGCTGCCCCTGATTTTGTGGAATTTGGGAATCTTTCTCCGACTCTCCTCCTTCTGGGAACGCAGCCTCTGCCCCTCTTCCAAAGCTCACTGGGGCTCCCAGCCCAAATTGCTCCTTTCCAAGGCTCGTAAATTATCACTTTTCCTACCGGGAAGCCTTTGCCCAATTTTTATCCTTTTCTCCTTGTTTTTTTTTTTTTTTTTTCTTTTCTGAAGTTTGTGGAGCCGTTTCGATCTGACAAATGGAGCTCAAACGACGTGCAGCTTTTCCTGACCCAGTACACAGCCAGCGCACACTCGTTGGAAGTGTTCAGGTTTGCAGCAGCGCCTTCCGCACACACACACGCCTCGGTTTGTTTGCGGGGCGGGTAGTCCTCAACTTACGGCCTCGGTGGAGCCCAAAGTTTATGTCGCTAAGCGAGACATTTGTTTTAAGTGAGTTTTGGCCCGATTTACAATCCTTCTTGCCGCAGTTGCATCCCTGCAGTTGTTAAATGAGTCACACGGTCGTTAAGCGAATAGGGCTTCCTCCCCGCCTTGACTTTGCCTATCAGAAGGTCGCAAAAGGGGATTGTGTGACACACCTCCTGGGATGCTGCATCCGTCATAAATGTGAGTCAGTGGCCCAGCGTCTGACTTTTGATCACGTGATCAACGGTCGTCAGTGTGAAAAACATTCATAAATCCTTTTTTTCCAGTGCCGTTGTAACTCTGAAACGTCACTCAATGAATGGTTGTAAGTCAAGGAATACCTCTTATTTATTTTCATTTCTCCAATTTTTTCCAATCTCTGACTTTCTCCTCTTGCAGGCATCAAGTGCTTTGGGAACGATATATGGGCACCCTCAAGGCCTGCCTCCTCAAGATATACCACGACTGAACCCCACTATCTTAAATTTCTTTTTTCTTTTTGCTTTATTTTAAATAGATGTTAATATTCCCTCTAGGGAAAGACCCGGTGCCATTCCTCTGTGATTGCTCTCCTCGCACCCGTAGCCCAAAATTCATCCTCCCCCTTTTTTCTCTTCTCTCTCTCTCTCTCTCTTTTTTTTTTTTTTTTTTTTGACAATGAGGACTAGTCAATTGTTTTGAGTTTTTTTGCTGGGATGAAATAAAGAATCCGTTTTGTTCCCAAGCGGGCGCGTGGCTTGATTTGCCTGGCTGGTTGAAGTAGGGGCACTGAGTCTTAAGGACAGAAGGCCGTGCCTGGTGGGGGATTATGGGGATTGTTGTCCAGTCGATCTGGCAAGAGAATGGTGGGGGGGGGGTTATTCAGATGTCAGAATTAAAATTGGGGACTGGCTGTCTTTTGGGGGAGATTTTGCTAAGAAAAAAAAAATCTCTTGCTGGGTGGCCAGTTGGTTGAATTAGAGCAGAGTTAAGGGGAGAAGGTCAGGCCTGGTAGGGGATTATGGGAGATGTCATCCAATGCATCTGGAAAGGGAAGAGCCTCAAAGTGTCAGAATTAAAATTGAGTTTATCGCTCTTTGATGGTGCTAGTTTGGTTCTTGATGGTGGTGGGGGCCGGAAAGGGGGGGGGGAGGAACATTGATTTTCCATAAGTGATAGACTAGATGACTTCCAAGGTCCCTTCCAACTTTATTATTATTATTATAGTGGCAGGATCAGACTCTGAATCAGAAACCTGGGAATAGAGATTCAGACATAAGCTGGACTGCCCCCAACTTATCCCAGCATGGAAGAATGGGGAAAAACTATGTTGGCCATTAAAGAGAGAGAAGATGGCTGGGACAGAACAAATCAGGCAGTCCTCAATTTACAACCCATTCATTTAGCGACCGTTCAAAGTTACCACGCCGAAAAAAAGTGACTTATGCCTGGTTCTCGCGCTTACGGCCATTGCAGCCTCCCGGGGTGACGTGATCGCCATTTGCGGCCTACCCAGACAGCTTCTGACAAGCCAAGTCAATGAAGGAAGCTGGATTCACTTAACAACGGCACGATTCGCTTAACGTCCATGACAGACACGGTTAAAATCTGGCATGACTCATTTAGTAACCACCTGGCATAGCAGTGGAGATTCTGGTTCCCCAACAAAGACTTTGGGCTAGTGTTCCTCAACTTCAGCCATTTTTAAGATGGGAGGACTTCAACTCCCAGAATTCCCGAGGTAGCATAACTGGCTAGGGAATTCTGGGAGTTGAAGTCCATTCATTTTAAAGTCTGTCAGGTTGAGAAACACTGCTCTAGATCAAAGTTTCTCAACCTTGGCACTTTAAGATAGGTGGACTTCAACTCCCAGAATTCCTTCACCCACCCACCTCTCTACTAAAAACTTCCTTACACCCCCCCCCATTTTTGACTCAAGCACCCCCTCCCACTCCCTACCTCCTTTTCAAACACTGCCTGGCCCTGCTGACATGCAGCTGTCACCCCCTCCCCTCCTCACCCAGGACTAGAACCGATCTGAAAAAAGGTTTTTTTAAAAAGGGGGGGGGAATTCTCTGCATCGCCAAAGGGGACACACACACACACCCTTGCAGTTGATTCCTGACTTCGGGGAGCTTTTCAAAGCACCCGAAGGCAGGGCAAGAAGCAATGGATGGCAAATTATTAAGGAGAGAAGCAACCGAGAACGAAGGAGAAATTTCCTGACAGTTAGAATAATAGATCAGCGGAACTACCTGCCTCTGGAAATTGTAGGTGCTTCATCCCTGGAAGTTTTTAAGAAGAGACTGGACAGCCACTTGTCTGAAATGGTATGGGGTCTCCTGCTTGAGTAGGGGGTTGGACTAGATGACCTCCAAGGTCCCTTCCAGCTCTGTTATTCTATGAAGTTTTGGGTGGGCTCCATGCCTAATAAAGAGAAAGCTTAGGGGTGATATGATAGCACTCTTCTAACATTTGGGGGGCTCTCATAAAGAAGGGGGGAGGATCAACCTATTCCACAAAGCACCAGAAAGCAGCAGAAGAAACAACGAATGGAAACTCATCAAGGAGAGAAGCAACCTGGAATTAAGGAGAAATTTCCTGACCGCGAGGAAAATCGATCAGTGGAACAGCTTGCCACCAGAAGTTGTGGCTGCTCAAATCACTGGAGGTTTTCAAGAAGAGACGGGGCAGCCACTGATTGTCTGAAATGGTTCAAGGGTTGGACTAGAAGACCTCCAAGGTCCCTTCCAAGTCTGCCGTTGTGTCATTCTGCCAAATCGTTTGAAATCAACCGCATCCAGATTCTCCAATGCCACCCTGCAAGGGTGGGTGGGGGTCTGCCCCTCCCTGAGGAGTGCAGCAAGTGGGGTGGGGGGGTACAGCAAATTGAGGGGGACAAAGGCTGGTTCGGAGAAGCAGCCTCGGCTTAATGGATACAAACAGCTGGCTGGTCCCGAAAGGGTGTTTATTGCAAGCTAAGTGAAAACAGATGTTGGCTGCCAGCCTTTGACAACATCTGCTTGTCTCGGGGCCAAGAATTCAGGGTGGGGGGTTGAGTGTGTGTGGGGGGGGGAACCAGCCAGCGGCATTCTCCCAGGGCACACCCTCCCGTCACTTCTCTCTCGCTCTCCACGCCCGGCCAGAATTGGGGGGTGTTTGCCGGAGACGGAAAGAAAGGGGTGCCAGAGACCGTGCCAAGCGCTTGTCAAAGGGTGAGTGATGGGAAGTTTCTTTCTGGGGTGGGTCTGGGGGCTGGAAAAGGGGGCTGAGAGAGGAAGAGAGGAACAGGCCAGGCCTGCGAGAAGGAAACGGAGCTGGGAAAGGGAGGAAGGAAGGAAGGAAAATCCTGCGTAATGGCAGAAAAAGGTGGCTTTTTTGTAAGCAACGCAACGCTGCGCCAAAGGGGCTTTGCTCCATCCAGTGGGGGTCCAGGCCCCAAAGTGGGGGAAAATCTAGGGGTGCCCCTGCTCAATTCTGCTTTGTTTTTTTGCAACTGGGCACCAGAGAGAGAGCGAAGAAATGTATTTCCGGTGCCTTAATTTTGTGCCCAGTTCCTCTTAGCCATGTTGACTTCATCTTGGTTTGTTCTGCTGCCCGAACGCTCCAGCTGACGTTTTGGGGGAGAAACAGAGAACTAGCCTAGTTTTCCCAGAGACTCTCTTAAATTTTGGGGGGGTGGGGTGCATTTATAGATAGGGCTCTGAGGACGAGATAGTCCTTGGGGGTGCCTGGTACCCCCAAAAGCCTCTAAAACCAGCCAGCAAACTCGAATGTCTGTTCTTGCAAGCCAATGTTTATAAATCTGGAATTGATGTGCGTTCTGCATCTGCTCCGGACCGTCTTTTCCGGCATGTTGGTTCAAAACCTAAATAATCTGACGGCTCTCTTAAAAGTTTGTTCTATACCTGAAATAATAATAATAATAGTAGTAGTAAAGTTGGAAGGGACCTTGGAGGTCATCTAGTCCAACCCCCTGCTCAGGCAGGAAACCCTACACCATTTCCGACAAATGGCTTCCAGTCTCTTCTTAAAAACTTCCAGTGTTGGAGCATTTCCTGCTTCTGGAGGCAGGTTGTTCCACTGATTAATTGTTTTCACTGTCAGGAAGTTTCTCCTTAGTTCTAGGTTGCTTCTCTCCTTGATTAGTTTCTACCCATTGCTTCTTGTCCTGCCTTCAGGTGCTTTGGAGAATAGCTTGACTCCCTCTTCTTTGGGGCAGCCCCTTAGATATTGGAATACTGCTATCATGTCCCCCCTTGTCCTTCTCTTTGTTAAACTAGACATCCCCAATTCCAGCAACCGTTCCTTGTATGTTTTAGCCTCCAGTCCCCTGATCCTCTTTGTTGCTCTTCTCTGTACTCTTTCTAGAGTCTCAACATCTGAATAGTATATCCATGTCAGTTTGGGTTTGTTTTCCCAGGCAAAATTGAAAGACTATTTTAGTTCACTTGATCTGTTAGAACAATGAACCAGGGGAACTACCTGCCTCCAGAAGCGGCGAATGCTCCAACCCTGGCAGTTTTTAAGAAGAGACCGGACAGCCATTTGTCTGAAATGGGATAGGCCAGCTCAGCTCCTGCTGGCTCAGGAATTCTGGGAGTTGAAGTCCACGAGTTATAAAAGAGCCAAAGTTGCCTACTCCTGGCCTAAGGCCTCCGGGTTGGACTAGATGACATCCAAGGTCCCTTCCAGCTCCATTCTGATTGATTAACTGACTTACAACCAAAACTGAACAAGCAAGGTGCTTGTTAAGTGAGTCGCACCCCACGTCGCAACTTTTTTTTGCCCCGGTTGTTAAGCGAATCACCGCAGTTTTTAAGTCACACAGTGGTTCCGTAAATCTTGACTCCTGCATTGATCCAGCTGGAAAGGTTGCAAACAGCGATCACGCCACCTTGGGATGTTGGGACCCTCCTAAACGCCATTGCAGCACCCAAATTTTGATCACATGACCACGGGGGACCGTTGTAAGCACGAGGACCAGTCGTAAGTCACTCTTTCAGTGCTGTTGCCACTTTGAATGGCCGCTAAACGAAATGGTTATAAGTCGCGTTGCCAGCCACTTTGAGGTAGGGATGATTTGATGGCCGGTTTAAAAAGAAAATAAACACCGGATAAACTCAGTGGCCGGGTGTGTTTTATGTGTATTGTGTACGTTTTGTCTGACAAAAGGCTGTATTTAGCGTTCCTTGGAGACAGTAGCTCTCTTGTGTAAATATACACCCGGCTTGATCCATCTCCAGAAGGGCCTCCAGATTCCTGCAGGAACTGAATTTGCTTTCAAACCACTGGTTTAAAATGAAATAAACCCCAGCGTTTGGAGCGTAGGACTGCTGCCTCTTCGTAAAGGACAAATTGGGTATATTTTATTCCTTTAACTTTTGCACGCTGTAAACAAGAAAACAAAAAACACCAAAATCCGGAGTGAGTTTGGGATCGGATAAGATTCGCTCGGCCTGGTATGTTCAGCCTGCTACAGATAATGACTCGATTTACAACCGTTCATTTAGTGACGGTTCAAAGGTGCCACGGTGCTGGAAAAAAGTGACTTTTTTTTTTATACTTACAACGGTCGCAGCATCCTTGCGGCCACGCGATCAGAATTCGGACGCTTGGCAACTGATTCAAGTTTGCGATGGCAGCGTCCCGGGATCCCCTTTTGCGAGCTGCGGTGATTCACTT